GTTTTGGGTGTGTTTATATGTTTAAATAGTGCTTGGGTTTTTTTATAAATACATGTCTAGGATTGGGTTTATTTATAAATTTGTAATTTTTTTTTGTGCCCCTTTCAATTATGGGCCTTGGGCCCAGGCCCCAGTTGCCCTGGTCAAGGACTGGCTCTGTGTGGAACTATATTATCTGATCACGTATTTTCTAACAATTTGAACAATAATTCTTTTATTATTTCCTGTGGACAAATATCAGTCCCTCCAATTTATTGATAGTTCCAGATTCATATATTAAAGTTAATAATAACCTTCATTCAAATTGTCAATGTAATTTGAGTGTATTACTTTGTAAGTTGCTTAAAGAATGAAATTTATACTTCAATTGGATGTCATATGAATCTGAACTATACCAAGCACATCTTCCAACTGTGAATAGTAGGGTGTCTAGGAAAGGATGCTCTTGTCAACTTGAAAATATATATATATACTAGATACGTTGAAATTCTCCTATGCAAACATTAATAATAACGTGAGGGCATTCAGATGAGATAATAAATGACTATCTTTATAAGAGTCGTTTTATGGTGAGGGTGTCATATATGAACCTCCATATTAGCCACGTGATTCATCTAAATGGTAACTTCACTTAAGTTCAATGAAAATTGACTGATATGAAGATCCACATGAAGAGTTCATATGTAGCACCCTCACTACATAATTTCACATCTTTGCAGCAAAATAAGAGGGCCAAACAAACAGAGCAATGGCCCAACACAAAGATGGAGGCCCATAGCGAAGTACCTCAAAATTGTTTATGCTTGTCCATAGAAAAGTAGTTTTCCGTAATTTTCACGCAAATCATGATTAGATCCAAGCCGCGGTGGCACTTTTGAGTCCGTCAATTAGAGAAATGTGTGAATCTAACGTTCGCTGTCGTTCCACGCAGCGACACCAGCGTGAGATGAGAACACAGATTAACGGTCAAACAAGGATTAAATTTCAAATCCAACCACGATTAAAATATAGCGGAACGGGCGTGGCCCCAACCCACACGCGGCAACCAACGAGATGGCCTCAAAAATCGATCCTTTCCGGAAAGTTCCAGCACACTCATGGCTCCCAAAAAAGTAATCCGCAATCGCGGCTCAGATCATTCCACGTGGCATCCGACGTGGTGCGGGTTACATCCCTGTAAATGATACGCCTCGGTGTTCTGAGTCTCGGTCCTTTTGCTTTCTTCTCCGTCAGACCAGACCAGGCTGACTGAAAAATTCTCAGCCAACGCTTTAACTTTAAACTGAAATTTCACAGAGAGAGAGAGAGAGAGAGGGAGAGAAAGGGAATTAGATTGAGCTTCTGAGCTTTGTTTTGAGATTTCTATACAACAAAAACGAGCTCTGTGTGGTTTGGATCGGCAATGAACTGCAATGAAGGAGAAGGAGGAGACTCTATGAATACGGAGGAGCGCAGAGAAGCTTTGGTTTATATGTGTGGATATCTTCCCGGAGTTTCGCCGGAGAAATCTCCGGTACTGTCCCTGGCGCAGGTGCGGTTTCCGAATCGGATGGACGGTGGAGATTCGTGGAAGGACGTCTGCGGAGGCGGTTGTGGATTCGCCATGGCCATCTCAGGTTTGCTTCTCTGATTCTCAGTCTCTATCTAATTGTTTAGTAGTTGATGCTATTACTATTCGTTTTGTTAAGCTTGATCTGAAAGTTGATTAGCTGTGGCTGAGGGGGTGTGTTTGGTTATGGTTGAGATTAGAGTGTGGGAAGCTTATAACTTGGGGTTCGGCGGACGATGAAGGGCAGAGCTATCTGGTTTCTGGGAAGCATGGGGTAATGCAGTGATCTTCTAATAACTAAAATGTTTTAGGC